ACAGTGTGTGTCTGTGTGTAATTGTTATTCGATCAAAGTAATTGTCTGATGTGCGGAAACAAGCCTACTGTTTGTAGCAATAAGGCCTCATATCGGATGTGCTGAAACTTGAAGCAAAACCTCTACGCCTAACAAATATCGTAATACTAGTACGTGTATTACCAATCCTGCGAGCATGACTAGCGTCTAAGTTACGAAGCCTCTAATTTCTTTGTTAATTTGCTCACTTACCCATTGGATGCTAGCTCATCAATCAAACAGCTAGCGACCGAATCGTTCGTCCATTACAATAGTGTACGGGTACAAGCGTCAACAAGATGGGAGAAAGAGAATAAATACAATTTTTAAATAGAAATTTCACCGAGAATTTTGTGTTGATAAATAAACATGCTGTGCTTTGGAAATTAAAGATATGAAATCAAAGTGATTGATAGAACGAATTTGGATTCAGATTTTGTGAATACCGATAAAAATCTTAATTTGCTGTTGCTTAGCGTTCAATTCAGCTTGTGAGATCTTTGAAAAAGGTGTAAGAGAGAGGGAGAACAGAGCAATATTGTCTGATCTTTAAAGTGTTCTTACAAAATGCATTGTAGGACCTAAGTCCACCTTGTCATATTTCTCCCCCTCCGTTAGTCTAGAAAATAATTATAATAATACTACTTCTATTAAAACCTATATTATCTATTATAATCAGTGGAAAAATAATTAAAATACACTGCTTATTTTCAAGTAGATACAAAAAATTGGACTACGTTTATTCAATTAACTATAGGTACTTATTAAAGTTTTATTAAAAAATACCATAGCTATAATAAAAGTTCAAATGGAAAATGCCATGAAAAAGAATGAGGGAAATTGGCTAAGGATATTTACCTAAGGCTGGGCATACTTTTGCCTTTGATAAGATTGCAATGGAACATATCGCCGGTGAGTCTGGGGGCTAGAGGCGGGAAGTTGCTCGCAAGCGCTGAATTAGGACGATCATCCGTGTTGTCCAAACTCCTATGGTATTCCTGAAATAATATTTAAATTAAAGTATTAGGTACATAAGAGAAGAGGTTTAAAATAAGAGGAAAATATAGCTACAGATAGCATCCTAACTGCGGAGTGAAAGGAGAACTTGTGGTCATCATGTCCGATTTTCTCTAGAGCCTTTTCTGATTTGGATAGTAGCTTCGTTTCTACAAAGGCTTTGAGGTCGGCCATTTTCATTTTTCTTTTTATCTTCTCGCTGGATCTTCTCGTCATGATGTTCTCATCTTCCGTTTTGGTTGGTGAAGTGAACGGCATCTCTGTGATTGGTGACATGTCCTTAACTTCTGGTACCTCGATGAAGTTCTTTAGCGAGTCTCGATCTTTTATGTCTGGACTCTGGTATACGGAGACCTCAATTTTGGGTATAGGCAAAGAATTGCTTCTCTTTCTTGGCTGCGTTTGTTTTGACATATCATCGCATATATCTCGTAACCTGAAATATCGTTGTATTAAAATAATTGTTCACATTATAATATAATGTTTTCTAATATATTTATTTAATTAATACTTACCTGTTGTACAAGTAGTGCAGTGCCCAATAAACGCCTTCTTCTTGCCATTGAGAAGTAAATAAACACCGCAATGTAGCTACATCTAGGAAAGTAGCAGCAGAGACCTGAAAACTCACGAAAGTTCGCACAAGTTTTTCAAATAATAATTAACCTTATTTATACTATGATAGGACTCACATTTCCTTGTTTAGCAGATGGTGGTTTTTCTGTTGTGGGAGTATCCTTGGTAGGTCCACCTCCGCCGCCGCCACTGTCCGACAGTGACTCTTTATCCGATGAACTGTAAATAAGAATATAGTAAAAAAGGAGATTATTATTATTTAATTTCGAAAATGGAAAATAATTTCATAATAAGAAAAAAATAAAATAAAAAAAAATATGAGCATTCAGCCCACGTTTTTTTTTTTGTAGAATGTGTAAATCGGACACTTTCTGTAGTTTCTTACCTCATTTTAGTAATTTGTGGCAAAGGTTTGATACCCGGTAGTCCCTGCTTTGGCGTATCCGTTTTCCGTGGTTGAAATATACTTGGATCAGCCGCGTACACCGTATACGCTTCTTTCACTGCGCCGCCAAAATTTTGCTCCGAAGGTAGTCGGTAGATAAACTGAAAATAACAAAACAATATTTATTTTAAATAGGGTAGTAATATATAAGTCTATTTTGGACTTTATGGATTTGGAATAGAGTCCAAATTATTCTGTGATAGGTAGATGTGTACCTACAGTAATTGAACTGAAAAATTATTAAAAATAAAATTCAAAATCAGTAGATTATTCTAAAAGGACAGTTAAAATACTTACCACATGTTCTTCTTCAGTGCTAGAACTCTCTTCTGGTATAGTTTCAGGGAATATAGTGTCCTTAGGTGAAGACAGCCATGGTTCTTCTTCAGTACTGGCCTGTTTCGACGTCACTTCCGACTGTGATATCGACACGTTCTGACTTGGTGGGCTCCCATTCACATTACCTCCGCCTCCTTCTTCTTTAGACAACTTACCTGTGACAACAAAAGCTAGTTAGATTCGTGTCATATAACTAGTAGTAGCAGATATTATTATATAAAAATGTATCACACCACATCATCACACGTTAGCGTTAGTTAATTGAGAATGCTTATCATAATGCAGGAGTAATAAATCTCATCACAATCAAGCTCAAATAGGTACAAAAAAGGTTACACGCATACGCCCAAGGGTTGCTAAATACAAAAAAGAAATTAGAAATTGATTACAGTTGTAAATAAACAAACTCCAGCGGGGTCAGTCCAGGGGATGCAATCGCAAAAATTATGTTAAGGAAAAATACCATAAATTATAGTCGTTAGTAATGAAATTACTAAAGAGTAAAAGTATGATAGGTTTCTCTACATACGTCCCATAAACACGTCGCCTGGTTGATGTCTCTTGGAATACTTGCCACCTAAAGGCTTGGGTTTTGGCTTGACCAGTGTGGTGAAACATGGGGCTTCAGGGTGCCTGAACTCCCACATAGCTTGCCACATCTTAAGGCCATTCTCTAACCGATAGTTGTTTGTGAAGTCTGACTCTTTCAGGTGGTGAGACAGGGGTGCAAACAGGAACACAAACAGCTGAAACAAAAACAATATTTAATATGATAAGTCATCTGACGTATTAGGAATTCTCATTAGAAAATTTGCGTGAGTTACTCTTTAAAATATTACTCAATGGCAACTTACGGTTAAAGCAGGTATAGAAAAGAGATAATGGAAAGGGTTTGAGTAGAACACTCCGTTTTCATAGTCAGCTTCAATACATTCATCGGATGCATCAAGGAGGATCCAATGCAAGGTGTAAAGTAACTTCGTTTCCACATTGCCCAAAGACTGCATGTTGTCTTTCACTCTGCAAATTAAAAAAGTGAATCTATATAATAATCAGTGGGTTTCATTTCAATATAAAAGTATTTCCTGCAGGGCTCACTGAAGCACATGGATTGCCATACAGGTACTGAAACTCTGGCACAGAGCAGGAATTGGAACAGGGTGGGTTTCATATTTTAAGTCTGACATGTGCTCTTGTTTCACTTTCCACCCAAAGAAAATATAAATATTTCAATAGAAATAGTACCATTGAACAAAATTAAGTGTTTAGTTAAATATTAAAAAAAAAATACCTGTTGTGTAACAGAGCAGCCAAAGCATGCATAACATGAGGCAGCGAGGCTTGTATCAGTCTCCATCGTGGAATAGATCCTATAGCATCCGCTAAACTGATGGACAGTCCAAACCGCAAGTTCTGGACTAGTACTTTCTCAAATGACTGCAATTTACATTACAACATGTTAAAAATGTAATAGAAATACTAAGCATTAAATTACACAAGTTCTTTTTAATTAGATTTTGTATTAAAGTTCTGTAACTTTAAACTATTATTATTTTTTATCAAAATAGAATTCATTGTAAGTAAAGGTTAATTTTAATTATATTTCAATTAAAGCGAATAATTCATTTATTATTATTTAAAAAAAATAAACTACTATAGACTAAACAAAAGTTATTTTATTTTTATTCATCACAAATGAAATTCAATTTGAAAAATCTTCTCACCTTACAAGCTTCTTTCACTTCCTAGGATGCATTTGTAATAGAAATATGTTTATTTAATAAAAGTAAAAAGTTAGTTTTATTTATAATAACAAAATTATAGTTGCGAAAACTTTATTAAAAGAAGGTAAACATGTCAATATGTTCATAAGCTGTCAGTTGTCAATCTATTTGACATTTTAGTCGAATCTTTTACCAAAATGTTACCTTTGATTAAAAATATGAACCAAAATGCAGGAGAAAGTTAATCACTCTAAAAAATATAGCAAACTTTTATATAAATTGGAACAATGCAATGTAACGTCTCATAGTGTGATCAGAGCAAGTCTGTCCTTATCCTTATAATAAATTAATGAACACATTAATTTATAACAACAATAAAGAATTGTTTACCGTAATTTTAAGATGAAACTAATGGAAACCAATTGGAACATAGAATACAACATACACATATATCCACAAATAACAATAATAATAACTTAAAACAGATAAAACACCCAAAAGAAATAATGAGGAATAAGGCAATAATAAAGCACATTTAAGTGTAACTTACATGGTGTCCAGGAGCACGTTGACAGAACTGCGTGGTATTAACAAATAAGTGACACTTTACAATCAACAACAAAACTACAGCACATAAAATTGGACAGCAAAAATATTTTCCCGTACCGGGAATCGAACCCGAGCCTCCTGGGTGAAAGCCAGGTATCCTAGCCACTAGACCATACGGGAGATGAATGTAGTGACAATATATTCGATACACATTGTGCACAGTACATTTAGTGACGTTCTAAGTTAATAATTTTATTAATTTTAGACGTAAAACAGGTGTGGATAGTACCTAATACATTTTATTTTTACTTAATAATGTATGTATTCGATAACATAGATATATTTAACATTGTGTCCTTACACACAGAGTGAAGGTTATGACGAAATTCAAGGCGTAATAGCTATTTGTATGGTGAGTATGTGAATAATATTTACGTGTATTTTATGAAAATTCATAGAAATAGGTACATATAGTGACAAAGTGGGCCCTAAGTAGTGCACAAATTATCTAGGTGGTGATTTTAGGTATCAATTAAATCAAAGTTATTTTTTGACAAGAACTAACAATCAGTGTTCAGCAGTTTAGCGTATGTACACGATTGGCGAAACATTTACTTAAGGCGCTTTTTATTATTTTACAATGTCGTACAAAAGGTTTTGCTTACCATGCAGGCCGCATCGTGGACTTTGCCTAGGCGCGGTCTCACGAACGGCGTGGTTTGTCTCCACAGGAATATCTGAACTGGAATCGGGACCACCTCATCGGAATTTGGATCTTCTTCCGACATGTCTTTTGATTTCATTGTAAGGAATGACTCCTGACGACAAAATATCGATTGAACTGTGAGAGTCGGCTCTGCATTTCAGTCATTTTTTTTAAATTTGATTTGGGTAGTGAAGTACCTACACTTATAGGAGTATTTGATGATTAGGAACACTTAGAAAGAAATAATTTTAAAATTCAAAAAACACGTGTAAGGAAACATGCCCGATGTCACGTCGTTAGTTTACCCGCAAGACATAGGTAGGACTGAAAAGGTTAAAACGCAGTAAAATACTTAATAATCACACATACCGGGAATAATTAATTTAGTCAGATACTATCTATCTTTCCTTAGAACTAATGAACTTAAAAGGTGTTACATAATTAAAGTGAGTGAAACTATTCCATTACAGGTTGCAAAACATACCTCACTTGCAGTAATTAACACATCGTTTGTGACACATGGGAACACCACTGTTTACATGGTATGGTGACACGATGGGGAAATAAGGGAGGAAGCGAGGACCTCTTCCAAGGGACGCGAGACTGGAAATGAGGTTCCGCGCAATTGTGACGAGACAGACGCCTAGGGTTGGCACTACTAAGTTTTTCCTGATTTAAGCAAATTAAATTTGCCGAAGCAATATTCTGTAACGAATAATTTATCAAGTAGCATGATTAGATATAAAAGTGAACCCTAAACAAGTGTTTTTGACTTTAAGTTTAGCATGAAAATATTTAATTACTGAGTCTCTTTAAACTACGATCAAGAATCAAGATCAAGCCAAGAGTTAAAAAAGTGATATATCATAGTCATTACAGTATTGTATGATTCGTATTATGATGAAATCTTAATTCCACTGTGCGTTTCAACAGCCCTGCAAATTTTCAGCATTGATCTGTGCGCGCGGGTCGAGAGGGCGGAGAGGCAGCCTCCGGTTGCCATAGAAACGGCAATATGGCTGCTTGAGAGCAGCTGAAAATGTAGGCCAGAGTTTTATTCACCGGTTATTGCATTGATTAGATTTATGAAAAAATGGATTTAAGTAAAGTTAATAAATATATTTAATCTATTACGATTCTACTTTGCTTACATATCAACCCTCGTGTAGGTATGTAATTTATTTGATACATCCCCAAATAAAATAGTAAACGTAAAGGCATTGAATTAACAAGATTGGCATAGATATCAATGTTCACTTAGCGGCAAGCAATTTACTTTATAAATAGAGACGTCCAGGGAGCGCCACTAACAGTACCCATTTTGTAGATTGTTTCCGTTGCTTGTGTACACATACATTGTCATTGTTTTATGCAGCCATCAGATTTTGTGACCAATTAGCTGTAGGTCTGTAGTTCATTTTCTTTTTTTTATTCAATTTCCTATATGTAGGTTAACCACCTATCTCACGTCTTTTATTAATTATATTAAGTGTTCTGAATACCTAACCGGTTCAATTTGCAAGATTTGGGATTAAAAAGGAATTGTTTATTAAAATTTGGTGTCCTAAAACGAACGGTGTTTTCTCTCCTGAAAACTCTTCACAGCGGTATGACACTTATCACGTTGATCGAAAAAGCATCTACTTACATGAGCTTGCAGATCCCTGTTTAAATCAGTATTGAAAACCCATTGAAACGAAGGCCCGGTTAAAAAGGCGTTTTTTACCCGAAGTCAAATATGGAGAAGTTAGGGAGGGTACACACGGCTACACATCGAGCTTTACATAACCAGTATAAACTGAACGTTAAATGTGCGGAAAGATGATGCGACGCGACACCAGGATAAACTGGTTTTGTATAGATTGATGTGTGGCCGCGTGTACTTTTATATTATAGTTTTTTTAATATGATATGATATTGTTATTGGTATCCCGTATCATTATCAAGCAAAGAGCTTAGGAGTATTATTTAGTTTCTGCTATTTTAACAAATTCTAAAATATATTTTTTAATCGGAGGTTTTTTCTTATTTAGGCACCTATGTCAACTAGTATGACAGTAGGTTAGCATAATTTTTAGTCGTATAAGTACTTCTCATTTGTTCTGACATGTCAATGGTAGGGCAGCACCTAGTATATCTGCTTTATTATATTATATATTACAGCATTTATTTATTCAATAATTTAAGATGATGGGTAGGTACCTAAGAAATAACTACTCATGAGTGCAATATGATTGGCACACGCATTTTACCTTGTTCTTTCAACAAAACTATTTGATGGCAATGATATGATATCTTAAGTATTGTAAAAATAGATGTAAGTATATCTATTAAGAATGTGTTGTGGTGGTATGTGGTGTGATCACTGTAGTATGGCAGGCAGCCACTGCACTGTTTACTGCCGGCCTCGTGAAGAATTGCATGGAGTAAGTATAAGGTAGACTTATAATTCAGATGAATATATTAGATAACGATATTCGTGAAAAACACGAAGAAGCCAATTATCGTAAATAAAAGCCCAGCTTTTAAATATGCAGTGTCCGCCAGTTCGGTGCGAACGGTGCCATCCAAAGCAGTTGCGATGCAGCTCAAATATTTCGTACATTGTAGGTAGAATTCACTGGCAATGCACGGGTTTACGTACTTATTATACAACGAGATTAAAATAGCTTTATGGACAATCCAAACGTACCTATACATACTGCTCTGTTTATTCCCGCCCACATCGGGTGAAGGAAGTTAAAATAATATCGGAGACATCACCATGTTACGTCACCTTAATGAATCACACACAAAATTTATGTTTCGGCATATCTATCTTATTTTGAATAAATACTTCTTTCCAGAATTACTTACTACTACATGATTAAAGAGTCAAATACCTGTAGAAAGATGTTTAGCTATTTTTCAGTCGTAGATATTGGTAATTTCATAGGATACCCGTAACTACCAATAGGGACCTACCTATTTAAAGATTGACTAAGTGTAGATTAGGTACAATTTAAAGTCTTAGTTTAAAAGACAATTGGTTGTTAATTGCTGCAATAGGTGTGTAGGTGTGTGGAAACATTTTTAATAAGTAAATACACAGGTAGGTATGATGTCATAGAGTATTGTTGGAGCCACGTCGTCTTAAAGCTATAGAATTTCATATTTATGCGCCGACTTTGTGACACACCTCTTTTACTTTCTTAATTTATGTGCCAACTCGTTAGACGGTAATTAATTTACATACCCGTTAGTATTCCGTACAATAGTTTGTTAATTAGTCAAGTTTTTGTCAGATTTATACCATATTCCTGGTTCATAACAAATTATTCTGAGATACAATCACGAAACTTCTATAAAAATAGAACGAGGTTGAAGTTTTAGAATATATGCAACATACTATAGCTATTGGCTGGGCGTTACCGAAATAGCGACGTTGTGTTTTGAATGGAAACTGCTTTTTACGTATTTCAGAAACTTTATTATAAGAAACAGAGATTATTTTAATAAAATGTTGATGATCGTATGATAAATGATAGCGGAATGAGTAATGAAAGTGGCCAACTGATGTTATAGTACTTATGATAAAGCTTCTAAATTGTCATTTGGTATATATTTCCTGTACAATATTAATGTTAGTTTCTTAGCTACATTCCTGTATATCGGTTTCATCTCGAAAGCAGTCCTGTAAAACCCCATGTATCTGTGAAGCTGACCCTAATAAGGCGATGCCCTAAATAAACTCATGATCATAAAAGAACTCACAGAGTCACAGATAGATTAGTCTATGAAATACACAGTAATTAAACAAAGGAAATTAGGTAGGTAAATAGCTCATATACCTCTTATAAAACAAAGGCACTCTAAAATTAACAAATAACGATGTAAAGATCGTCAAGAACTGAAGACAAGATTTTTACTTTAACTACTTCTGAAAAGTGTGACAATCTCCGCAAACAATTAAGATAAACTATTTCTGTGTAGAAGGAAAATGAAATATGATGTTTACTTTAACGTTTAGGTAGCTTGCAATCTTCAGATTTCTAATTATATCGTGTGGCCAGTACGACTAATGAACATGGATCCCTAAATTCGCGATTATTAGTTGATGATTGATTATGGTACATCATGTCCGTTAACATAAAATTGAGACCAAGAAAGACGTTTTCTTCGGATTGGCTTGTAATCCCAAGAAAGGGGAAAAGTTTAAAATGATTGGTAAAATTTTGGGATATTATCTACAAAAGAGTATTCATATTTTACAACAAGATCAAGTTAAAAACTCTTTGCTCATACGAATTAAACTGACACTGGCTGGAAATATAAGATAAAAAAAAAACAGATTCCGATGTCATTTAAAACTGTCAAGATGATCAATAAGGAAGGTGTGTTTTTGGATATTGATTTATTATTTATGTTTTTAGATATTTATTTTTAGGTACGTAACATTGCATTTACTATATAATTAGAAGAAAAGTCATAACTTATCTTTTTGCGTACAGTCGATGGTGAGCAAGCTTGCGATCCGCGGCTTGCAGCTATGTTAGCAGCCCATCTTGTCAGTCAGGTTTTAGATGAAGCTTTTGTGATAGCTAATGCTACTGCTGAGAAGGGTGAAAAGGGTGAGATAATTATGAAGTATACAATAAAGTATCAATCAAATATTTTTGAACAAGGTTTGAGCTTAATGTAGGCCATTATTAACGTAATGTTGGTGGCGAAGTGATGGCCGATGCTATTTGTCTTCAAAACTAATAAACATACTTATTTTATCCAAAAAGTATCACAATACAATACAGCTTACACCTTTCTCATTACACAAGCAATACTTTTACATTATTATGCCACTGCGTTCTCGACGGCTCTTAATCCCGGCGGGCTATAATTAACTCCAATTACGATAACAGGTCATCCGTGGCATTATCAGTCAATGTTGAAAAATTTTGAGAGTGATAAACAGTGTGATGCTGATGATGAAGACACATCGTTCGAGGCGTCAAAGGGCGACAGTGACATCGTGAATGAAAATAAGATAGAGCATGCTGCCAATGTAGTTGCTACATTGACGCCGGAAAAAGTTACAGGTAATTCTTACTCAGGTAACATTTCAAACGCCTGCCAAATATTTAGAAGTGACTGAAACAATGTTACTGGATAACGTATTAGTTTTTCTATACCCACCTACAAATAGTTCCGAAAAGCTATTTGAAATTGAAAGTAGGTAACTAATTAAAAACAGAGTCATCCTGTAATCCAGAGTGAGAAATGTAAATTCAAATATATGAAGCATCAAGATCGAGTGGAGTATTTGTATGTTTACATAATAAATGAGTGCGCTATTAGCAGTGTTTCTCTAATATAAGATAATATTTCAGATGATTTACAAAAAAATAAGCCAGAACCTAATCTCATCGGCCAAGGAGACGAAGAGCTTGATTTGGTGAGATTTCCACACATGTTTCATATTAACTAATATTATGTAAACAAATTATTTTCTGTAACTGTAACAAATATTTTTAGCGCCAGAACGAGTTAACGAAATCCACGTCAATGTTTATCAATCATCTTTTTGATATGAGTGAAGTTGAAAAAGTAATAATATTCGATGAGACCGAAATTATGCAAAATAATTCGGAGCCAAATGAGTTGCTTACTGAGGCAATGAACAAAATTATGGAGTCGTATGTGAACACAGCGTTGGGTATGACAATTGAGCAGCCTTCACATTCGACGGCGGGTATGATGCCGGTACAGGTGGAGAAAACAGAGAACAGCCCTGAACCTTCTGAATATTCGTTTTTGACAGATGCTTTTGCAGAGGACATCAGTAAAGATGTTGCATTTTATATACATGACGATGGATCTGGTGACGTTGTTAGAAACAGTGCACGCTCTCATCTTGTTCCGAATGTAGAAATAAGAGAGGTACACTTTTTGCATATTTTGATATTAAATAACTACCTGTAGGGCTTATTTAAGACAACGCTTATTGTAATTTATTTTATTTATATAGAATAATTTTTACTGTCACAGCTTTGTGAAGATGATATTCCAGAGAAATTAGTCGAGACTAACGATGTTGCACGATATGAAAATGC